TGCTACCTAATACTGATAATGCTAACCCAAATTGAATTACTTCCAATGGAAATTAAACAAATGTTGGTCCAAAATGTGATTTCCCTATATAAACTATAGTAAAGTTTACCCCCTCCCCAGGGGGAAACGTGAGACCCCAGGGTCAAGAAATTCACAATTTCGGTAAAGCACCTTAAGACTCTTCCATCTATGAAGAGTATTTGATTCTACCATATCAGGGTCTTGAGAAGAAGATTTTTGAAATTTTAGTCAATTTGACCCTTTTTGGCCCCGCCCCGAAGGCCCCTAGGGGCGTAGGACTAAAACGGCAACTATTTTTGTTGACCTTTGTCCATGGAAGGTCCCTGCAAAATTTCATTGAAAGTAGTAACTACAAGCGTGTGTTTATACCTTGTATTTCTATTTCTTGAACTGATGTTTGAAAACGTGTCGGAAAGATCGTAGAAATGTTAAAATCGTGTTTGGCTTCGTTGTGTAAGACTTCGTTTTTCTTTTCGACGTAGATGTCGACAGCCAACATTAAGACGGGGCTTCAAACAATATATTAGTGTTATATTGTTGATGAGATAGGTGACTCTTTTAATTTACAAGTTAATTGCATTGTGAACGAGCCATTTCTACCGAGTCCGCCGAAGCCATGTGAAGCCATAACCCGGAAGTATATTTGAGAATAGAGAAAACGCGCGGATTCATTGCGTACGACACAACGTGTCTATAAACCCCTATCTGTCATACTGTTTTTTCTGTCACTTAATATAATTATATCATTCACAAATACGATAAAATGGGGAAGGGGCTGGAAAGTAACACGAAGACGTTAATAGTTCAATCGTCATTCCTCGTATGTAAACAACTATTTTCCCATGATGCAATACCATTAAATTAGACAATCACAACAAAGTGGGAAATTTTTTCATCATTTGATTCAACTTTGACCCACGACCTATATTCTGCGAATGTAAACAACCTGGTCGATCTCAAAACGCTTCAACTTTACTGTAGTATTTTCAAGTTATGCTGGAGTTTACCGGTATCCAGTCTCTGAGAACAAGACATTGAATGGTGAAGTCAGAACAGAATGTGTTTTCTACACAAATGGCGACGAAATCAATTCACTTATCCCAGACCTCGCCGGAAAACATGGCGGCCATTACGTAAGTTTACATGTGAAAATTTCGTCAATGTAACTTTTAATTGTTTTGACAGAAATAAATATCAAATACTTCACCCAATTGGTCATGTTCATGTTGTGTCGACGGTCTGTTTACATTACGTCATTCGGGCTTTTACCGGAAGTAAGGCGCGAGAGACCCCATGATGCTTGGGTGAATATACCTGGACCCCAACTCTCTTCCTTCCAGGATTCAAGACTGTATGGACGGCTTATTGTGCTCTGCATATTGTAGACATTGTAACCCATTCTTCGTACAGTGTGCTCCACTTATATTAGTGACAGTTTCTCGGTTACCTCGCATATTGTTGGGTACCGTGACAGATACTTATTGAACTAGTAATACTAGCGTTGTGAGCTATATCACTCTTGCCTGACCAGAGTCCAGCGACATAGAGATATAGTCAACCACGTGGCGGCTTGGAATACCAAGATAGAAGGTAATTATTACTTCATTGGTGTCAGAAGTGCTAGGTTAGCATTGCCTTTAGTGTGTAATATTATTCGCGCTGTATTTCTGATAATTCAACAGCTTTGAGTCAGAATTTTTCTGATTTTTTCCTGTTGTAGTAGTCACGTGGTCACGCGGTTTTCAGGTACCATTCCGATATTTGTATCAGATATCTGGATATTACGGTATTATTTTTGAAAGAGAAGACAAAGCAGATTAACAAGCAGATTAACAAGCAGTTATTTAAACAAACAAGAGGCCCATGGGCCTACACGGTCACCTGAGTCTACAGTATTTATTTTTGTTGTTAAAATATATACCAATTTGAGTAAAAAATAGTATAATGTTAACTTAACTTTGTCAGGACCATGAGCTGATCATTCCTAGACCAATTTTAAGTGAGATCGGCCTATTAGAACTTAGTAGCAAAATAGCGGCCATGGCAGCCAAATTGTATTTCTGATTGACCCGAAAAATAACAACACTTTGTCAGGACCATGAGGCGATCATTCCTACCAACTTTCAGTTCAATCGGTCCAGCAGAACTTGACTTTAAGTTTGAAATAGGTTTTCAAAATGGCGGCCGTGGCGGCCATATTGGATTTCTGATCGACCCGAAAAATAACAACACTTTGTCAGGACCATGAGGCGATCATTCCTACCAACTTTCAGTTCAATCGGTCCAGCAGAACTTGACTTTAAGTTTGAAATAGGTTTTCAAAATGGCGGCCGTGGCGGCCATATTGGATTTCTGATCGACCCGAAAAATAACAACACTTTGTCAGGACCATGAGGCGATCATTCCTACCAACTTTCAGTTCAATCGGTCCAGCAGAACTTGACTTTAAGTTTGAAATAGGTTTTCAAAATGGCGGCCGTGGCGGCCATATTGGATTTCTGATCGACCCGAAAAATAACAACACTTTGTCAGGACCATGAGGCGATCATTCCTACCAACTTTCAGTTCAATCGGTCCAGCAGAACTTGACTTTAAGTTTGAAATAGGTTTTCAAAATGGCGGCCGTGGCGGCCATATTGGATTTCTGATCGACCCGAAAAATAACAACACTTTGTCAGGACCATGAGGCGATCATTCCTACCAACTTTCAGTTCAATCGGCCCAGCAGAACTTGACTTTAAGTTTGAAATGTAAAATGTTAACGGACGACGGACGACGGACGACGGACGACGACGGACGAAAACGGATAGCAATAGGTCACTTGAGCTAAAGCTCAGGTGACCTAAAAACAGAACAAAAAAAAACATGGCCGAACGGGATTTGGTAAATATAAACACGGCAACAGAGATGGAAATGAGGCAACTTCCAGGCATAGGGCCGAAGAGAGCGGCCAGAATTATGGAAATACGGGAGCAATGTGGGTACGTTTCAATGCCCCAATTTACGGCGGTTTTTCATGGAAGAAAGCTGGACAGGGACCTGGTAAATCTTATAGATTTTGAGGACAATATCCCTGGGCCGGAGGATCAACATTCTGAGTCACATAATTTAAGGGACCTGCTAGGACAAGTACCAGCTATGGGTACTATCACACCCCAACAAGGGACGCAGGACCTAGGGCGCTCATTACCGAAGGAACCCCCACAAACAGCCCCGATAATGGCTCCTACCCAGGTTGCCCCATCCCGTGTTACCCAACCCAAGGTGGTCCCACCCCAGATAGCTGCACTCAATGTTCCCCAAACCCGTGTTACACCCACCATTATGTATGGTGCAGGTAGGGAGGCTGATACCCGTTACCAGGATGTGGAGGATAGTACTGACAACGGAGTTGACCCATGGTCACCATTAAATCTACCGGGTAAGCAGTTGAGACGTGCACGAAACCCATATATGGCCGATTTCCCCAAGGTTCCAGACAGGACCCAAGTTCCTGTAGTAGGGGGAGAGGGAGTCAGACATAGGGTGAGGTCAAAACATGGGGTGAAACAGGAGATGGTGGAGCACAGCGCAGCTGAATCAGGATATTCCTATACATCAGGTTCCATCAGCGTGCATGAAATGTATCAGGAGCTGATAGGAATGCGAAGCAGTAGTTTGGCGTTTAAGGATAACTTCCAGCACCAGTCTAGTTGTCCGTCTAGTCCAACTGTTTACCAGGACATGCCAGTGAGGACCCTGAGTAACCTTGACAAGGTCAAGCAGCAACATGACATTAGACAGTATGCATCAAGTAGGTGCTCGAGGTCATCAAGGTCAAGGTCGCCGGATGTAGTTCCTACTCATAGGAAACATGTAGGGGCCCCTGGTACACAGATGGTATCATCTAGGCATAGAAGAGACCACAAAAGGTCACAGGACAGCAGTGATGGCCGAGATTTGGTATCAGACCGGACACGAGGGAAACAGTATGAGGGGAGACACAGGGGTAATCAACACAAATACAGAACCCCGTCAAGGTCACCCTCGCCTTCGGGGTCATTATATGACACGAGGTCAAAATCCAGGTCGAAGCCATCAGGGAGGCATGCTGGGAAGTCCTCAAGGACGCCATCAAGGGACGGACATGGCCGTAGACATAGTCCTTCTAGGATGGGACATGGCTCTTATAGAGCTAAATCTCGTCACTGCCAGTCACGTAAGCATTACAGCTCTGATTCTGATTCACAGAGCCCTTATAGAGGCTATCGGAACAGAAAAGATAGGTCGCATTCCAGACATCGACATGGACAACGTCGTCATGATCGTGAGGCGAGAGAGAGATCAAGGTTTTACTTTGATTCATCAGCTACCTCTAGTGACGGCGACTATTCGGAGGAATACCAGGGACATTCATCCAAAAGGGGAAATCCTATGAGAATACCCAAAAATTTGAAGTTCGATGGTAAGAGTAATTGGCTGTCCTTCAAGTAGAAGTTTGACAGCTACAGACATGTCCTCGAATGGTCAGACAGCCAGTGTCGGGATTACCTTGGATGGACATTAGAAGGAAAGGCGTTAGATTATTACACCCTAGTCACTTAGATGGGGAGCTGCCATTCTTTCCAGGAAATTATGCGTAAGCTGGAGACTCGTTTTGGCGCTAAGGAGTTAACAGAGACGGCCAGAATAAAGTTTCAACAGGCCAGTCAACGCCAAGACGAGCCCTTAGATGAGTGGGCAGATAGAGTCATGACTCTAGCCACTTCAGCTTTCCGCCACCTCCCGGAAAAATATGGCTGTACAGAAGCTATTGCCAGATACTGCCAAGGAGCCACAGACAAGGAAGCCGGTAAACATGCCTGTCTGGGCCATCCAAGGTCAATGGAGGAGGCGACTAACCTGATGAAGCAATATCAGTACGTCAGTCAGGCTGTGGACAGAAAAAAGGGAAAGCGCAAGGACCAGGACGTTACTGTAAACGTCAATGCGGTGTCTGCAAGCGAATCCAAAATGGAGGAGTTGATAGAAAAAGCTATCAATAAGCTTGCAGAGAAACTGGGCAAGACTAAGGTACAGGACCCCAAAGCCAGCGATAAACCCGCGTACAGCAAGGATTATAAATCCAATGTCAAATGCTTCTTCTGTAAGCAGACAGGAAGAAGGAGTGTAAGCGGTACGCAAAATGGCTGGAGAAGCGGAAGGCGGATGAGGGCAAGGAGACGCCAAAGGATTCTTTAAACTCTTAAGGCCCAGGACTACGGGCCATGCCCCTGAGCCATCTGCTAAGTAAGGCCTAGTTTCATCATCATTGGAGACTGCTTCCCTTAAGGCTGTGTCAACCCCAGTGAATATTTTGATGGATTTGTCCACAGCTGATGACGGTAAAATAGGTGAACTGATGAGGGGTTCTGAGGTCACCTGTACTTCTAGTTGGGTGAAGGAGGCTTTTAGTCTCACCTCTGAACCGGAAGTTAAGGGACCACATATGTCTGAGGCTGCCTGTGCTTTTAGTACAGGCAGTGAGGCTTTTAGTCTCACCTCAGAAAGGGAGATAATTCATGTTAACCAAATATGTGCAGGGTCTTCACTAGTGAAACTCACAGTAGGTGAGGTACTCATCACCGCCAGAATTGATTCCGGGGCGGAAATGACCATTATTTCTACTTCAGTGTATGACAGGTTCCAGAAGAAGACCCAGAAGTTAAAACAGGTTGTTATGCACCTGGCGGATACAGAATCATCACTGGAGGGATTTTTAATACCTCCAGTATCATTGAAAATCGGCCAGAGTGTGTTCAGGGCAGGTCTGTATGTAGCCCCCATTGCTGATGAGATGTTGTTAGGACATGATCTCTTGCATCATTGGGGGGCCGTACATGACATGAGGTCTGATACTCTCCTTATAGGGGAGGAAAGAATATCTTTGAACACAAAATTCTCTGGGGATAGGCCGGTTGTAGCCAGGGTTACAGCAACCAATAAAGTTGTGGTGCCCCCCAATACTGTCGTCAGGGTAACGGGAAAACTTGCAACACTCTAAATGTGTTAGTACCCAGTGTGGTTCGGAGTTCAAATACCGAGCCTGTGGTCTGTTTGGATAATCTGACAGACAAGTACAAAACTGTGAGAAAAGGTGATTTTCTAGCCGATGCCTTTGAGGTTCAGGATTTTATAAGTCCTGATATGTCTTAAAGACATACAGAAGAGGTCGTTGGTTGTGCAGACCTAGAGACCGGGTCTGATGAGGTCGCATCTTGTTGCCAAATCGGACAACCGGAAGTGCGGTTGAGGGAAGTACCGGAACATCTACAGAAGTTAACAATGGATTCCAGTAAGCATTTGACTGAGGCTCAACAACTCGATCTTTGTGAACTTATTTGTGAATATGAGGATGTATTTGCGAAGAATGAGTTTGACCTTGGAAGTTTTACGACTATAGAGCATGCTGTAGACACTGGTGATGCTAAGCCTATTAAACAGCGCATGCGCAGAACTCCGGCCTCATTTGTTGGTGAGGAGGAGGCGCATCTTAAAAAGATGCTGGATCCTGGTGTCATACAGGAATCCATGTCCCAATGGGGCTCTGCGCCAATGCTCATCCGACGAAAGGACGGTAGTATGCGTTGGTGCATTGATTACAGAGCCCTCAATGATGTGACTGTGAAGGATACTTTCCCTTTGCCGTTGGTGGATGATTGTCTGGATACGCTGTCCGGTAACACCTGGTTCTCGAAATTGGACGCCAATAATGCATACTGGCAAGTCAAGATTAAGGAATCGGACAGAAAGAAAACAGCGTTTCTGACGAAGTTTGGTCTGTTTGAACATGTAAGAATGGAGTTTGGCCTTACCAACGCTCCTGCTACTTTTTCCCCGAGTGTTAAATCTGACTTTGAGAGGTCTCACCTGGAAAACATTACTCACCTTTTTAGACTACATCTTAATTCTAGGAAATCACTTTGATGAGCACCTCCAAAATCTGAAGGACGCGTTGGGAAGATTCAGACAGCATGGCATGAAGTTGAAACCAAGAAAATGTCTTCTTTTCCAACCAGAGGTAGAATTCCTGGGCCGCATGGTAAGTAAAAACCAGATAGCCATGTCGGACCATGACACCGGAACAGTAGCTAACTGGCCAGTTCCTAAAAATACGAAGGTTTCTCGCCTTAGTGAATTATCACCGGACTTTTGTAAAAGGTTTTGCCGAGTTAGCTCAACCCTTGTATAGGCTCACTGGAAAAAACAAGTTCCACTGGGGAGATGTGCAGCAGGATGCCTTTGAATCCTTACGGAAGGTATTGACTGAACCACCTGTATTTTTGGCGCTACCTAACGCGGTCAGCCCGTTCATATTGGACACAGATGCGTCGGATACCGCCATTGGGGCAGTTCTCAGTCAAATTCAAGACGGGGCGGAGAAGGTTATTGCTTATAGTAGTTTCTCTCTAACCCCGGAGCAGAGGAGGTATTGCACTACCCGGAAGGAGCTTCTCAATATTGTGAGATTTACAAGACAGTTCAAATACTATCTACTAGGTAAACAGTTTACCGTCAGGACAGACCACTCTAGTTTAACTTGGTTGCTACGGTTCAAGGATCCACAGGGACAGTTGGCACGATGGATGGAAGAACTTTCACAATATCATATGATTGTGACTCACAGGGCTGGGGCCAAACATGAGAATGCTGATGCACTTTCGCGACTTCCTGATGAGTTAACCCCGTGCCCATCCTATGTTGCCGGGATCAGACCGGAAAGTTTACCCTGTGGAGGCTGTAGTTATTGTCAACGAGCAGACAAACAATGGGGCGAGTTTGCTATGGATGTGGATGACATTAGAAACCTGACGGACAGTTCTCCTTGCGGGGACCAGAGTTTCCAGTCCATTGGGACTGATGTGGCCACAGTTAAACATAACCTGCAAGGCCAGGCGGAGGGAGTAACTCCTAGGGAGTGTCCTGAGCTTATAGGTCAGGCAAACTTCTGTAAGGAGCCCTCTGTGGGCAGTATGCTTAACCCTCATGCCAGGGGTCGATTTTCCATGAGTGGTTTAAGTTCTCTCGTATACCCTCAGGGTATGCATGCCAGTCAGACCCAATCCTCTCAGTTTGAGGGTCAACCGGGCTTGGGAAAACATCAGGATAGCACGGTTTCCCAGGTCACTCTTGGCTACGAACACGCTGATGGTGGTAGCCATGACAGCCGGCTGACAACTGAGCCAGTACTGCAGGCTTTGTCTCCAGACAGTTGGTCCACTTTATCGGTGGAACCTAGAGTTGATGGATCAAGTTTTGATATTGAGTTTCAGGACAGCCAGTTTCATGTGAATATGTGTACCGTCAAGCTAGCTCAGGAAGCAACTGTTGGGTCGCCATCTTGTTGGGGGTTTACGTATCGTGAACTTGAGACTGAACAAGGAAAAGATGACGCTTTGCAGTTTATTATCAGATACCTGACTGACGGTACGGAACCTGAGCAAGGGGAATTGCACCTGGCATCTCCTGAAACTAAGTATTACTGGTTGAACCGGGAGTTGTTTCTCCTTAACGACGGTGTGGTGTTCATGAAGAAAGCTGACAGTAAGGACTTGGCGCTTATAGTTCCACAGTCCTTGAAGGAAAAAGCAATGCAGTGGCATCATGACCTCCCCTCAGCTGCTCATTAAGGTATGGCAAGGACTAAGGCGAAATTGAAGGAGAAGTTCTTTTGGGTTCGCCTTGGTACGGATGAGGAGGCCTATGTGTCAACGTGTGAAGTTTGCACCCGAAACAAGAAAAACAAACCCTACGGAAGGGTTCCCCTAACGCAGTATCATGCGGGTGCCCCCATGGAACGTGTGCACATAGACTTCCTTGGCCCCTTACCTAAAACGGCAAGCGGAAATGAACATTGTCTAATTATAGTAGACCAGTTCACCAAATGGGTAGAGTGTGTTCCTTTGCCTTCACAAAAGGCTGAGGGGACAGCGAAAGCGGCAATTGATGGGTTTTTACATGGTTTGGGTATCCGTTCCAACTTTTCTCAGACCAGGGGCGCATTTTTGAGAGCAAACTCTTTGAATCATTGTGCCGGGCTTTACAGATTCACAAGGCCCGTACAACGCCTTATCGCCCCTCATCAAATGGACACGTGGAACGGTATAACCGAACACTTATGGACGCCGTACGCTGTTTCCTTGGCAAGTCCCAAAACAAGTGGGATGAGCATGTCCAACAGATCGTGGGAGCTATCAGATGTTCCGTAAACAAGAGTACCAGATACACGCCTAACATGCTCATGCTTGGGAGAGAGGTGAATACGCCAGCACAGTTGATGTTTCCTATACCAGGCCAGAATAATAACAGTCTGGATTAGTATGTGTCCAGCCTGATGGGAAGTATCCAGGAAGCTCACACCGTCGCCAGAAATACGCTGAAAACACCTCTACGCCGTATGAAGCGTTATTATGACCTTAAAGTCCTACTGAGACCATACGCCGAGGGGGATGTGATGTATTTGCTGGATTCAGCAGTCGTGAAGGGAAAATGCAAGAAATTGTGTTCTCCCTGGAAAGGTCCTGGAGTAATAATCAAGAAGTTATCCGCATGCCTGTACCAGATCAAACTCAGGAACTCTGTGTTCATCACCAATCATGACCGGATGATGCCATGTAGGGATAGAAAGCTCCCGGCGTGGATCAACATATTTAAAACACAGGGGGAAAAGGATGAGTTGGATACGTCTGACCAGAGCACAGAAGTCTACTGCATTTGCAGGAAAGCTTGGCAGGGTCGATTTATGATTCAATGTGACTATTGTCAGGAATGGTACCACGGATCTTGCGTCAACGTGACTGCTACAGACGCGCTTGAAATAGACAAATACACATGCAGTGGTTGTAGCAGTAACTAATCATGTGTTTTGCTCTAGTATATTGCAGGTATGGCATCTGGACGGAACCAATCTTTCGCGGACGAGGTCTCGCAGCTTATAGATAAGGGCCAGTTGTATCAACCGGCCCGCAAGTCCGTCGAGCGATTGGGTTTGGCTCAGGTGTCGGATTCTAGGATGAAGGCCCTACTTCTCGCGATGTGTGATTTGGCTAGGGGGAAGACCACCCAGAGGGGATCACAGCAGTATCGTCGTGATTCATGGCTCAGGTCTTGCGAGGAGACCCTGAACGTCTGTCAGCTGCAGTCGCACGACTGGATTGCGGCTAACGTCTATCGTATCGGTAGGCGTAACAGACCAGGACCTATTGCCGCGGAGTCCAGGGCTATGTACCACGATATACGGTTGTCTACGGATCCCAGCTTGGCACGGAGGGTGGAGGAGGTTTCGTCGCGAAGCCCTGAGATGGTGCGAATGGAGAAGGACACCTTGGATCTGGGAGCGGACCCCCAGAACCCCAGGCAGTGACATAGCCGGAACCGGTATCCCCGAAGTCGCCATCACCACCTCCCAAGAGGAAACCAGCGTCGATCTCACACCCCTGTGGAAGCCGAAAACGAGTCACATCGGGTTGTTATGCTGCTGTGGGCGAGACTCTGATGCGAGGTGCGTATCGTGCCTCCTCAGAGGCTAAACCCACGGTGGCTGAGCGACAATCTCGAGAAGGGCATCCCGAGGGTCCGAGGAGGAGTCCAAGGAAGCATTATAGCTCTCTCCGGCATAGTCCCCGTAAGGCCCTTAGTGAGAATGTGCGGGCCGACCCGAGCGCCACCAGGAAGCGACCAATCAGTCAGCCGGCGGCTCCTCAATCAAAGAGGTTATCCCTCGGAGGAGGGATAGCGTTTACCCGGACGGTCTCCTCCACTGAGGCGGCTCCTGGGGGCTTGGTGATGGATTGCTCGCCTCCATGCATTCCGGGAGCATATACCTGGAATCTTCAGCGAGCATGTGGACCCTGACAGTCAGGAAGTGTTGCAAGGCAGAGAGGCTGCTCTCATGCAGGCTGCTGTTTGGCTCCTCCGGAGGCCAGTGGGGCATCTCGGGGACCTTCGGGAATTCGTGGAGATGCAGCACTTGTTGACAACAAAGGGAGGTGTCAATATCACGGACTGTCAGACGGTGGCTATGAGGGCATTCAGTAGTTATCTGGGTGAGCCGATCCAAGACAAGTATACAGTGGATCCAGTGAATTCCATAGCTGCTGCTCTTATCCACTGGAAGGCGGTTCTGTTGATGTTGGCGCGGATGACCTCGAGTGAGCGTGAGTACTGGAGGACTCAGTTTCCAATTCCTGAGGAGATGGCAAGGGCCAGGCCCCGTGCATTTGACTCTCATTTCCACCTCGACCGGACACTGCGTGAAATGGGTTTACCAAAGGAGACTACTTTCCAGTCCTTACTTGCACTCAGTCCAATGGAACCAGGACAGGAGATTGAGGTTGTCGGAACCTGTGCCTGTTACGTACTGTGACCCCATTACCTACCCAACTAAGGAGCATCTGGCTACATTACCAGAGGACATGGAGATCGCAGTGGGGGTGCATCCGAAGCACCAGTACTCGCAGGATCAGTTCAAGCGCGTTGTCCAGGAGCTGTGTCAACTCATCAAGTTGCCTCATGTCGGAGCAGTCGGCGAGATTGGGTTGGACCATTCCGTCCCTAGGGAGCGGTGGGCTCAGCAGTCAGTTATGCTGAAGAAGATTCTGCTACTGGTGGAACCCAGGCATGTCTTGGTAATACACTTTAGAGGAATCACCGGAGACAGTGGAGCGGAAGCCTATCTACTTCTGCTCTATTATGTGAAGAAGGCTGTGCGTCCTGACCAGAGGATAAATCTCCACTGTTTTAGTGGGGATTCTTACGTCCGTGACCAGTGGACCAGTGCCTTCTCACAGCTGTACTTTGGATTCACCAGTATGGCTGCTAAGTTCAACAACCAGCAGTCCAAAGCCATAAGGGGGAATCCACTCTGAGAGAGTACTGTTAGAGACGGATGCTCCCTATTTTGCCAGATTCGGAACCAGGTCTCTGCACCAAAACGCCCGACGACTGTATCAACGCTTGTAGGCTATATTCAAACACCTATGGTCAGGGGTACCTGATCTTTTAGGCCAGGTTCGTGCTTATAGTGCTACCCTGTACCTATACTCCAGGAGACTTAAAGAGGCTGTACCTTAACTCTGTGTTTCATGGAGCAACAACCAGTAATGGAACATTTTGTGAAAACACAGGCTTATAGCTTGTGGGAACTCTGATTAAGGACCAGGGTATTCTCCAAATCAGGACCTCCCAGAACAAAGGACTTTCATTATAAGGTTGGGAGGAATGTTGTGTCGACGGTCTATTTACATTACGTCATCCGGGCTTTTACCGAAAGTAAGACGCCAAGGACCCCGTGCTGCTTGGGTGAATATACCTGGACCCCAACTCTCTTCCTTTCAGGATTCCAGACTGTACGGACGGCTTATTGTGCTCGGCATATTGTAGACATTGTAACCCATTCTTCGTACAGTGTGCTCTTCTTATAGTAGTGACAGTTTCTCGGTGACCTCGCATATTGTTGGGTACCGTGACAGATACTTATTGAACTAGTAATACTAGCGTTGTGAGCTATATCACTCTTGCCTGACCAGTCCATCGACATAGAGATATAGTCAACCACGTGGCAGCTTGGAATACCAAGATAGAAGGTAATTAAAACTTCATTCATAAGAGATTATTCTTCATTGTTTTTTAACTCATCGGTGACAATCGAGCTATAGCTTCTGCACCCCCGGGGCTGCGGCAACCACTTGGAATATTTTTAGAAGTTTTGAGGCAAGTTTTCAATGTTTTTGACTACACAAGTCTCTATGCATCTATTCGGGGTGTGATACAATAACAGTTTAACGTTTTAAAATGTTTGTATTGTTTTCAAAATTTCAGCGTGCTGATAATCGTCAAAACTTTTTTAAGTAATTTTATTTTAACGTTTTAGGGTTGTTCAACGTTTCGAAATTAATTCTTACTACAAACAATGTGTGTGAATTAATGTTTTATTAAATGTTAAAATTACTTTTTTCTTTCACATTTTGCTTTGGCTTTTGGTTTATGATTTTGAATTTTTCTCAATTGACTCCATCGAAATATTATAAATATTATTCCTTATATTTCAATGACATTTTTTCTTTCTGTTTATACACCAGTCAAACCCCTCTATATCTTCAAAATTACAGGTTCATTTAATTGCAGATCATCACAGATTTTTTTCTGATATATTATTCCAATAATTACAGCAGACATGTACATTGCTTAGTTATTTCATCATGTTACATCATAATGTAATTTTCATACAATCTTTGCTTGTTATGTGCATACACATCCCTGTATATGTACATTTAAATGTTCAAGATATTCTTTTTATCATATATATTCAATATTTTATTTTATGATCATTATGGACTGTCTGTATCAATCAGAAAAAAGGAAAGGAAAAAAAGTCTTCTTGAACATTTTAGCCTGATAAAATACATTTTTTAGTTAAAAAATATTTTATTAATATGATTGATTAGTCAGTAAGTTTTTCAAACTTATCGATGACTTCTCCAAATAGGTCACGTGATGGCATGAAAGATGATATATACATTAAGAAACAAACAAATTGATGAAACATATCACAGTGAAATCGAGGATTTGGGGAGGGGGAGAGAGAAAGGGGGGTGAGGGTATAAATAGAGAGCAGATATTTAATCAAATCTTCCTGACTTACCTTAATAAAATTATAGTGTTGTTATATGTCTATACACATTGAAAAATCTTAAAAGTTCAGACTGAAAGGATTTCCCAGAATACGTCAGATTTCTTCTAGGGTCTAGTAGAGTTCTTTTTTCTCTCCCTCCTTTAATTTCCCTGGCGCAACACACCCCAGACGCTCGACCCCCTGTTACCTAGCATACACTCCGAAAATTGATTTGCTTTGCCACAGTGTCTTCATTTTTTGAGCACATATTTAATAACAAATAAAGAAATTATTTTGTTCTGGTTTACCATATGGGAAATCTTGTTAACGTCTCTATTCATTATTGATATGAAATATTATCATTCTTTCACTTTATGTTCAAGATGTTTCTTGATTGTTAATCGTAGGATGTAAATCAAACATAACATCTTGTACTGGATTCAGTGGTATTGTTGCTCATCATTTCTACTTTCATTTGCTCTGATAATCAAATAATTTGATTATGTGAAACAGCAGGATATATACTTATTTCTTGATTTTCTTTCACTTAGACCCTGCAGATGCTGAAGGACCTTCATTAAACCAACAGAAAGATATGGACGTCACAGATGGTAATTTTCATTTAATTTTTGGTCACCATCTCATGCAAAGGGAATGTGGGCGTACATATTTTAGCAATATTATTTTAGCACATACAAACTAAATTCTGGGTCTGCAGCTGAACACTTTCAATGATATGAGCCCTGATCTTTTTTCTTTGCCTTTCTAAACATTATGGCCAATTACATTATCCTAGATTTAGGGTGTGTAGGCCTCTCATTGTTCCTACACATATTTACATCAGACGCAGTCAAAATACTTTACTGATACTTGCATTTGTAACGAAGAGGGGATGGCAATAACATAAACAAAGCGATGTTCCCTCCCTTCGTTATAGAGTTATGTCCCCTCGTTTGACTTGTTCACACTATCCCTCTCAAAGTACTGCATCAATATACTTAATAAGCATTTCATTCTAACTGACGATTTGTGAATTATATATAAAGTCAACTTCCATATTAATAATTCACTACTCCTTCCACAAATTACTTCACCAATTTAAGTGATACCTTTTATACAATACAGTATATAAATCGAGGGTCCTCTCCCAATTATAGAGTTATGTCCCTTTGTTTAAAAAACTGTTTGTATTACTCCCGAAGTACAATGAAAATGAGACCGGTGGTCCACCTTTATTTCAATTTTTATACCAAAATTTATTTTAGTGCTGTTGATCTGATTGCTTCAATTTTAAACCTTGTTGTATACACATATATATATCTACATGTGTGTATAATTACTTAATTTATTCAAACCTGACAAGCAATTCATAAACTATTACATTTTCCTTTACTTTGTTGTTGAGTTAACTTGATCATTATTTTTTTCAGTATAATCCCTCCTGAATTGCCAGAAGATTGTGACCCTATCCGCCACCATCATAAGCTTAATGAGGACAGTTACAGTACTTGCTGACTTTAGATGGGCATATATGTCTCATAATAAACTTTCATAGTCTTTTATAAATTATTTAATATATGATATGATATTGTGCTTATATATATTTGCCCGATTATTTTTGACACATGCACATCATCACATGTTCATATTAAATTCTTTCTTCTTTACAAAAGTCCCAGAGACAACCAATGATTGAACTTCAATACTCCATCTAGTTTTGCAATTTAAACATTATGTTTATTAAGCCCAAAAACCTCTTTTGATTTATGAACAGATGAAGAGGTACAACTGTAAGGGATTGTCCCATTTATATTATTTTATGATGTGTTTGTATATATAATATTCTATGAAGCAAAATTGAATAAATTTAAATTATCGAAAGTTTGTATCCCATTTAGTAATTGTTAGCAAATTTTTAAATATTTTAATTTACATGCAAAAGATTTCATCAGTAATAATTGTCTTCAAGTTACTTCATTACTTTTTAGATTATCACTTTGTCAGTGTGTATATCTGTCTATATTATATAGGTTCTAATTTATTTAACTTATGATTATTTAAATTTGTACTGTTTCAACTAGAAATCAGTAAATGTATCACAATAAAATATTGTTTGCAAAAATCTTGACTAGTTATTTTCTGAAAAAGTTAGCAGGGATAGTAGGAATTTAATCCCAGTAAGGATAGATATTTTTTAGGCATACCTTAAATGTACCTCGTATCAAGGCACATTTCAGGTATACCTCAGTCAGAGGTACGATTTAGGCACATTTTAGGTATACCTCTGACTGAGGTATGATTTAGGCACATTTTAGGTATACATACCTCAGTCAGAGGTACGATTTAGGCACATTTTAGGTATACCTCTGACTGAGGTATGATTTAGGCACATTTTAGGTATACATACCTCAGTCAGAGGTACGATTTAGGCACATTTTAGGTATACCTCTGACTGAGGTATGATTTAGGCACATTTTAGGTATACATACCTCAGTCAGAGGTACGATTTAGGCACATTTTAGGTATACCTCTGACTGAGGTATGATTTAGGCACATTTTAGGTATATGTACCTCAGTCAGAGGTACGATTTAGGCACATATTAGGTATACCTCTGACTGAGGTATGATTTAGGCACATTTTAGGTATACATACCTCAGTCAGAGGTACGATTTAGGCACATTTTAGGTATACCTCTGACTGAGGTATGATTTAGGCACATTTTAGGTATACGTACCTCAGTCAGAGGTACGATTTAGGTACATTTTAGGTATACCACAGTCAGAGGTACGATTTAGGCACATTTTAGGTATACCTCTGCCTGAGATATGATTTAGGCACATTTTAGGTATACGTACCTCAGTCAGAGGTATGATTTAGGCACATTTTAGGTATACCTCTGACTGAGGTACATTTTAGGCACATTTTAGGTATACCTCTGACTGAGGTACGATTTAGGCACATTTTAGATATACCTCTGACTGAGGTATGATTTAGGCACATTTAAGGTATACTGAGGTACGATTTAGGCACATTTTAGGTATACCTCAGTCAGAGGTATAAAGAAGAGGCCCAATGGGCCTGAATCGCTCACCTGGTATTAATCTCACACTTGTAATCTTAAAAGTGGAATAAAATTTAGCTACAGACAGAATATCAGTGTTTGATTCATAAGAACCTATTAAAAGATTTACACATATGACGCCTGTGACCTTGAATGTCGAACAAGGACATTAGGTTGAACAAAGTTTAAAGTC